ATTATAACAATGATATTAATAATAATATTTTCCTGGTTTTGTCTTTGCTTTCTCCAGCTGGAACAATGCTTGGCGCTCCGTGTCCCGCCGGAAATGTTCTCTTTCCTCATCCAGGCTTAACAATTAAACATTTCATTAAATTGACAATTATTATCATAAACATTCCCGTAGTTTTACTGAGTTTGAGGCAAATACATAGGTTTAAGGGTTCATGAACTATGATCTGACATCTATACAAACAAACACCCAAACAGAGACTACTACTTTATTTATAATGATGCAAACCTGATATCTGAAGATCTAACACTGTAACCCGACCCAGACTCTCCCGAGCCCTGCCGGGGCATATATAAAGACCGACCCTAAATAAAATATAAATTATTTTAATATTAACTTATACTACAAGAAAATTGACTCCAGATCTTAACTTAAAAGATACATATATTTTGTTGACTCTCTTCAGGTCTAACAAAATATATTAAACGTAAAAACCAAAATAATTTTTTTTTTTATAAAAATAGACGTTTGTTAATGAAAATCATAATGTTAAAGTGAAAAACGGTAGTTTTTAGCAGACAGATTTTATCGCCTACAATTTGTAAGAAAAATTTCAAAAATGAACTTTAAACCATATCAAACAATAGTTCTCAGGAATTTTTTAAAATTAAATTTTTTTCCAAATATTTCTTTCTTTATATTTTGTTCAAAAGTTTTCTTTTGAATATCTGGAATCAGGAGTTCTCAGTATTTTCAATATATATAGATTAGAAGAATTTGAAAATCTTTAACATTTTATTAAATCTATTTTATCATGTCAGGAGAATTGGAAACATTGAAGAGACTTGAGGCCCTTTTTCAAATGATCTACAATCTAAAATACCAGATTCACAACGGTACCCTGGGCCTCTAGGGATTTGTCTGATCAGGAATGAATGACATATCAATGATTTCTCTTTACGAAGTTGGCTATTTTCAATTGTGGCTTCTCTGAAACAATGACTTGCGGAATTCTTGATGCATAGAAAATGGAGGAAATTGTTATCATCAATAAATTTTACGCTATAAGAGCGACAATGTCTTCCACGATATTGATCCGATAAAAGTTAGAGAGTACCGTTGTGAATCGGGCTTTGTCATCTTAAAATGTAGGTCACTTGAAGTTTCAACGACAGTTGCCTCTATTCGAATATAAAGCGTCCAAATATATATTCGAATATAACGCGTCAAAGCATATATTCGAATATAAAGCTTCAAAACATATATTCGAATATAAAGCGTCGAAACATATATTCGAATATAACGTGTCTAAACATATATTCGAATATAAAGCGTCAAAACAACAAAAAATAATTGACTTTGCATGTATACAATAAATGCTTCTGTTTTTGCAATTATATAATCAATCAATAGACTTTCATCTGTTAGAAACAAACCCTTAACGTTTTGTTAGAAAAATCGAACAAATCGAAAGCATTACGAACGTTTTGTTCAAAATAATTAACAAAATATTCAGGAAATGTCACAACTGTTTTTATCCGTAGCAATCTGTTTATTAATTTCGTAGAAACGTTCGATGTTTATGAACAAAATCCAGTTTTTCCTGAACATTTCTACCTTCATGTTTTTTGTTAGTAAGGACTACCAAGAGGCCAATAACAGCTAGTCGAGAGGTCTTAACTCTACATTTACTCAGGTCGATTTGGTCACTTCTGGACAACAATTGTTTCTTTCTTTCACTAAAATCACAGATTTTTGCCCTTTACAGGGTAAGGTATGTAGTTCAGTCCCAGGCTTCTAGAATTGAGAGATAAATGAACTTAATTAAATGTTTAAACTGACAATATGTTGGTTGTCTTCTACAGTGGAGAAGTCTTATCAATTTCAATCCGCCCCATTTTTCTTTTATCTGAAAACAATAGTTTAAAAAAATCACATTGATCATGGTATAGATGATAAAAGATAAAAGATTTATCTATAAGATGTTTGTGACAACAGTTATTACAATTTGATCCAATCGAATTAAGAAACATAGAAAGCTCGGAATTATCAAAATGTCGTCTGGCTCAAACTTTAGAATATATATTCCAGGTTTCAATTTATCAGCTAAAATCAGAAATGTCGATATATCTACGTAAATCTTGATCAATTTTAAACACCCTTTTATTACTCATTTATTGCTCATTTGAAACAAAAATATGAATTTCCTTGTTAATTGGGAACTCCATGCATATTATTTTAAGATTTTTTTGCCTATAATAATCTTGTTTTATTGTAAACTGTTGTTAAAAGCAGCAATTTTTGGTCACAGGGATATGGTTTCAGCCTGTTTGACGCAAGCTTTAAAACTGGTCTGTACTGTATACGCACAAACCAGACTCAGGTAGATGACGCAAATCCTATAGATAGATATATAAGCATATACGCGCACCAAAAAGCGCCTGCGCACATGCCTTTTTAATTATGATAACGGAGTATTGACTAATATATCACATAATAGTTTCTTTTNCACACGGAACACTTTACAAATAAAGGGTCACTTGAAATTACTTGTACAGTCCCTTTAAGTGAATATAAATTCATTGCCAGCGAGAAAAAAAATGCAGTGATACAACTTACTATTCAACACTTTTAATTACTCAGCGAAAAATGTTTGAAATTTTATTCCTGTTGCATAGTGTCCCAAAACGGGAAGACAATTATTCATGAAATGTACAACGACTGTACATGAACAGAACATGTACAGCAAGTTTAACAATTCACAATACAACAAACATTGTTTGAAGTGCACTCCTGTGCATGAGGGAAAATACTAAAGAATTCTCAGTGGGGGTAACAGACACACATTTTCACACACACACAAACGCACTGATACCTGCCGGTCAGAATACAGTTATGGCAGCTTTCTACTTCAGATTTGTAATCAAAATTTTTAATAAACAGTTTTATTATTTTCTTTTGCGTCAATTAAATGGTTAGTTTGTAGTAAACATAAATATTAAAAACAACCAACTAATTTTAACTAGAAATGTGCCTAACTGTCTCCTAAGAGAAAGTCTGTAGAACAAAAGTGTAACATTGCCTCTGAACTAAAATCATTCATGCATTCCTGGATAGTTTTCTAGTTTCCAGATAATTTTTTAATCAAGATATAATCCTGACAAAATTGTTAAAAACAAGGATGATTAAGGAACCCTAGCACTTCAGTTTCAGTAGAAGAAAATATTTCTATTTACTGCTTAGCGCCGATAGAAGGATTTATATCTAATTGGATGATGAGATATGATAGAAAGATAGATGTTACCGTCATACAATTTCTATTGGTTCAGAATAGACAACAAACACATGACTGAACCTTGATTGGAGCAGAGGCTAATGGAATCGGAAAACAAGTGTGCTAGGAAGGCTAAGGGGGGGGGGGGTGTAGGCATCCCACAACCCAGTGATTTTTGACGACAAAATAAGGCTGGTCAATGAATTAAAAAACCTAAAAAAGCTTTCTTAATAATTTGGCTTGGTCACGTCAATTAATTTGCAAAATTATATTGATCCACCACCAAGCTACAAGGTTATTATTAAGCATGACGCAGTCTTTTCCAGAATATGACTATAACAATAAATTAATAATTTCTATTCATAAATTTTAAACTATAACAATAAGTTAATTAATAATTTATTTTCATAAATTTTGAATCATAAAATGCTTTCCGTTGAATTAGAAATAAAAACTTTAAACGTAATAAATAGCGAATTTCTAAAGGATTAAAACTTTTAATCTTTTACGCGCTCAGTATGTTTCCCGTCTCTCACTAAATCTAACTTAAATCCTTTAATTCAAAAGTTCGCATATCGAGTTCAGTCGCTATCCAAACCAAATGTTTTAGCCTCAAATTAAGATACAAATGTAAAGGTTCAATTTTTGAATTTAATAAAAGCACAATGGACGTTCCTTATTCTTGAACATTAAAACCATGAAATTGCTTCATTAATCTTTTTTCTACTCTTACTTAGAGTTTTATGTAAAAGAGCTTAGTTACCTAGAATAAGTCACCCAGCGGAAGCTTTTTGGGCTTTGAACATATACTCCCCTTCAAAAACGTAAGAAATTTCAAATTTTATAAAATTTGTGTTTTAAATTAAAGGAGATTAACTACCCCTGACATTTAAAAACAATTTCACATAATCAAAAACTGTCAAAAACGCAAACCTATAAGAAAAAGAAACGGTTTATATATTCCTAGAGTAAAAGCTATTAAAATTGGACTGCTTGCTTTACACCTAACTTCCCTAAAATATGGTATGAAATTAAACGACACTTTTTTAAACTTTCAACTATCAATCTTATTATTACGAATTTTAAATATAATTCAATTGAAGATTTTTATTAGCACAACTCTAACACATGCTATGTTTAGAAAAGAATCGAAGAAAGCAAAGACAGCAAATGAAAAGATTAAAAATAAAATCAAACATAAAGGATTTCCCAAATCGAAGTGAATTAAAAAGAGGCTTAAAATACCTTTATTTGCCACCAGTTACATTAAAAGTAATGTAAACAATAAATATGTTACTTTTCTTATGTTTTTTTTAAATTGAGATAAATATCACCACAACCTCTTTTTCTGGAAGGTTTTAGAGGGCTTTAAAGATTTTCTCCTGAAACAAATAATTTGTTTGTTTTGTTTTATTTCATAAAATAAATAATTTCTTACTTACTTAAAGGGACAGTAAAGGAAAAATGAAAGGGGGTATAGGCTGAAAGCTAATCACTTTAGCTCTTGATCGCGACCCATGAAAGTCATATCTGATGTTCATGTCTCGAGAAATTGATATAAAACTGTGTCAAATATATACGAAAATTAATATATATACAATTTTGTATAAAAGTAGTAGGTTTAAACAGATAATATTCAGCAAATAAGCAACCAATCTGAAAACAATGATATCCCAGAGAAAGCTAATTGTAAATTAGGTTTACTTTTATATTTGTTATTTCTATTTTCAACAGGTTTCATTCATAATATTATTTTTACGTCCGTATTACTTGACCAGAAATTCCACCAATGGCAGTGCAGTAAAGTGGTCATGTGATACAGGCGGAGACACGTGACCAGTATACTGCTCTGCCATTGGTGATAGTTCTGGTCACGTGATTTAAGTTTCAGGTTTTCAAAATTTTACATATATGAATTTTCGTATAATTTTAACACAGTTTTATATCAATTTCTCGAGACAGGATCATCAGATAAAACTTTCATGGGTCGCGATCAAGAGCTAAAGTGATTTCTTTCTTACTTAATGTTTTTTTATCATTAATTTCAAAACATTATCTTTTAGATTTTGTTTAACCGACTCACAATTTTACAAACATCTTACTTAGATACTTGGTGGGAAAATAAATCTAATATGTTGTGTTAGGTAAATAAGTCATTTACTTCATTTTTGATAAATTCTGTTTAAAGTTAGTACAATAATCCAGTGTATTCTTAACAAAACGGAAAGCCGATTTTGAAAAAAAAACTAACGGTTGTAAATGAAACGGTACCGTTAAAGGCAGTAGCTGATAACGGTTGTTGAAAAATTTTCATTAACGCATAAATAAAAAAGATATCATTAACTAACGGTAACTTTAAAACCGAAAATACCGTTAGCGAAGCGAAGTTTCATCCTTACACTGTTACCTAAGATTATATTTTTGGAACCAATCGTTAACTAAACGGATTGAAAAACTTGGAACGTGCCCAGCCTTATCAAGAAAGTAATTTTTAATTTTCACTTTAATTCATCATGATATATAGAATATTATTTAAAAACCCTACTTTATTTACAATGTTTATTTGATTGATTGGTCTTTTTTCCCGATACGTTTCTGCAGCAAGTGATAATAATCCTTCCTTTACACCATATCGCATAAAGTTCACTCTGTAACTTTTAAATTAATGAAACACAAATATAGAATATTTTTGAAATGTATTTTACAACTGTATACACTTTATACTCCAGCCCAGAGGTAGAGAGACCAGTGTATGCAACAGTTGAGAGTACAGATAGATAGATAAAATAGAGGTTAGAGAGGATAGATAGATAGATAGAACAGAGGTTACGATTCTATACAGCTGAGACCTCCAGGGGTAACACTGACCAAGAAAACTGGTTCGGCATCACATAAAAAAAACATATTTGGTCCGAAAAATGAAAATATTTTTTTATTTATGTTAGAAAAAAACATTTATTAAATTTAGTCCTGTTTCGAGAGGCTGGATTTATGGCCTCCGAGAGAGGGGGAGGGGGCGTGGGATAGTGTGTGGTCAGGATTCAATTTCTTTCTAAAAATGTAAATACGCATATAAAGCCTAGACCTCAGATAAAAAGGTGGCCGCCATGTTATTCTAATATTTAGATTCTTTAAGACCAAAAGAAAATTGCTGGGATATNAAAATGCCCATCCGACCTACAAAAAGTGCCCATCCGACCTACGAAAAATGCCCATCCGACCCACGAAAAGTGCCCATCCGACCTAAGAAAAATGCCCATCCAACCTACGAAAAATGCCCATCCGACCTACAAAAAGTGCCCATCTGACCTACAAAATTGAGTGGCCGTCCGACAGCAACAATTAATTTATTCTACCAGCTACTGCGCTATAGGCGTGACAAAATAAGCTGCTGAATAGGTCGGATGGGCAAGAAGATATGCCCATCCGACCTACAGCTGTCGTAGGTCAGATGTTGCAGTAGGTCGGTAGAGCGGATCAACACTACCGACAAATTCTTTAGGATTCATTTGAGACATATAAAACTTTTCCACGATGTTTAATGACTGAGTTTGAGTGCATTTTCGACGTTCAAAATCATGAATTTGGGTAGTTACGTTTGCAGAATCGGCTTTTTTAAATTATTAAATAA